GCTCGACCTGACCGGAAAAAAACGTAGCAGGAAGCTAGCTAAGTCGTAGTATATATCGTCACAAACAGAACTGCCTGGTAAAACCGTACGCAGAGAGAGAGAAGAGGACAACAAACGAGGGGCTATATATACATTTAAAATTTAAAATTTTATTTTAAATTTGGTAAAGAATTTCGATTTGACCCTGAGTTTTTTTTTTTTTTTGGCTGGGACCTTTCCTGGTCCTTGCACGGCCAGGCCGCCCAGCAAAATATGGTGACCCGGGCGGCCTGGCTGGTAGCCTAGAAGTCCAGTTAATTCCGAATTAAAAAAAAGAATAAACCGGATTAAATTCCAGATGAGAGTATGCGCAGCAAATGGGGGAATAAGATCCCGAAACTTAACGCAAGGAGATAGTTTTTTTTTTTTTTTTTGAAAAGAATCAAATTACAAAAAAAATGTCAAAATTCAGAAAATAAGAAATTCGGATTTCCAGTATGCACACAAAAAAAAGAATCAGCGAAAACTTCTGAAAAGATTCCAGAAAATAATTTCGAGAAATAAATTCACAAAATAATTCGGATTTTCAAGAAGTGGAGTTTGCAAAATAATAAAAAAATAATTTCGTGGAATAATTCCGAAATTCAAGAAACGAATTCGCAAAATAATACTGATTTTCAGAAACATAAATTCTCGTAAATTCCCAGAATAAGGAAAAGAAAATCACGAAAATAAAAATCGTGGAACATATCGCGGGATATTCCCATTTTCAAGAAAATAAATTGCGAAATAGACCACGGAATGTTCCTACTAAAATCGCAAAAAAATCATGGAATAAATCGCGATATAAATAGCGGAAAATTCCTAATAAAATCACAAAATAAATCGCGAAATAAATCGGATTGATACTCCAATTATCAAGAAACTATATCGAGGAAAAAAAAAATAAATCCACGGAATATTCAGAAAAAATTGTGGAAATAATTCCGTGCAATATTCCAAGTTCCAAGAAAAAAAAAACTCCCGATTCTCGGAAATTTCTGATTTCGTGATTACGAATTTTGCGCAAACAAGGGGTTTCGATTTCTGAAAAAAAAAAATGAGATGACAACTAGGCAAAGTTGAATCAGGAACGAATCAATCAATCAATCAATCAATCAGCCCTAATTAACCAATCAATCAATCAATCAGCCCTAATTAACCAATCAATCAATCAATCGATCGATCGGCCGATCGGGTTGATTGATCGATCTATAATCTGGGAGTCCAGATTCACAAGCGCAGCTCGGATACCAACTGAAGCATGCCCAATCGGGCGATGTAGGGGGGAGCCAAGGATCCGCAAAGTGATGAAAGGGACTCGTATGGACAATGCAGCATCAGCCAAGCATCAGCAAGCAATGTACATCCAGATACATATGGAATAGCACAATGTAGCGCAACGGAAGACTCAAGATATGATCTGACCTGGCAGATACGGACGCAGCACCCCATCATACACCACACATGTGTGAGAGAGAGGAGGGACCGCATGCATAGAAGAAAGGTCCCTCCTTGCACATGCACATGGGAGGAGACACCGCGGACGAGAGATGGGGGGAGGCGAGACGAAGATGGAGGCGAGGGAGAAGACTGAGATAGCCATAGCGAAGTCCAAAAAAATAGTCCTTGGCCGAGTGTCCAATCAATGTCTGCAGCAAAAAAAATGTCGAATCAGATCCTGGGCATATGCCCGTGAAACTTCTGCCTGAAGTCTCTCTCTCTCTCTCTCTCTCTCTCTCTCTCTCTCTCTCTCTCTCTCTCTCTCTCTCTCTCTCTGAAAGAAGAAGAAGAAGAAGAAGAAGGAAGAAGGAGAGGTGGAGGGCGAGAACAGATAGAAGAAGAAGAAGATGATGTCGTCCTCCTCACTGTCTCACCTGCAGGTAACTGCTGCCAAGTACGACGTCACCGGCGTACGCTGTGCTGCAGGTCGTTGGAGCCAAGTCCAGCTATGGCGCCCAGGTACGTACTCGAATGCTGCAGGTATGGCCTCCGCCCTGTCTCCCTACCTTCTCCTCTACCACTAACGTAGCGCAGCTCTGTTGCGTGTGGTGCTGGTCCAGCAGCGTGTCACCCAAGAAGTGAGCTAGTCGAACTGTGTATGCCCAGCTGCTGCCCAGCTATAAGTAGCACTGGGCTTGGCTGGGCGCGCCTGATGCTGGCCTCAAACGGCCTTGCTCCTGTGTACCCAGCCCAGGCGGACCGTTGGGGCCTGCAAGTCCGAAACGTCGTCTGCACAGACAAAAATAGGACAGCAAATAAATAAATAAATGCTGCCTGTAGTCGAAACCTGAGGCCTGGGGGCCGCCGTGGGCCTCCAGGGCGCGTGTCCGATGGGCACGCGGCCTGGGGGCCCCTCAGCAACCGTCGGGCCCCTGAAATTGGGCCCATGTGCAGGCGCAGCATGTAACATATGGCCACCTAAGGGTCCAGCTATGACCGTGAGATCCTCGTGCAGCATCTTGCACACAGCAGCTATGGCCGCGAGATCCTCATGCAGCAGCTTGCACACAGGAGCATCTGCGCTTTTAGCCTGTCGGGACTCGTACCCGAGACTGGCATAAAGTGCAGGTGGTCCTGTGTGCAAGATGCTGCACAAGGATCTTGCGGCCATAGCTGGACCATCAGGTGGCCATAGCTGGAACCTCAGTCCAGACTGCCCCTGTTCTGTACTTCCAAGTTTCGACCCAGATTTCTCCTCCTTCCAAGTTCCAACCGACGAGTTGCATTGTCTGGAGCACAACAAGATATGGAAACAGGAAAGATTAGTGTCTCCATCCGTGTGCGGCCACTGAAGAGCGTTTGACAAGAACATCCCTGGAAAGTTGGGGACAACACCATTGTTCTTTGCAGGCCGGGTGCAGCTGGACCATCACAACACAGTTTTTACAAATTTGCAGATATGTCCCTCACGTATTTCCCCACAGGCTGGTCTCCCGGTTAGTACACAGTAAAAACAAAACATAAGAACAACAACAGAACAAGTCATTGCAAGTCACAGCCTCGGTTCGATGGGCCGCAGACTGCAGAATCAGCAAGTCATTGCATTGTTGTGGTGACAGTTCACAGCACACACACACACACACACACACACACACACACACACAGAACAACAACAACACATAAGAACAACAACAGCGATGACAATGACAACAGCAAAAATGGGCAAGCATAGTGCACCATGGAGTTTCATGCACAGACATTTCAGCAGAGCTGAGTCCACATTGATGAAGGCAGATCCACATGTGGTCACACATGCAGCCATCCCAGGAGATGCGTGTGTGTTGTGCATAAATGCAGAGAAGTAAGACACTTAAGTATCCGGGAGGTTGCCAATGAGGTATGTGCGGCTCCATCCACATAGCCATACAGAGGTGTGTGCACATGTATGCAGGCAGAGGCTCGCAAACCTACCTAGAGTCCACCAGAGGTTTGCATGTGCATATATCATGTAGATATATGTCGAGAACGGAAACACCAGAAGACATGCATTCACCATCAGGAGCACCACAACATGCTGATAAAACACATGAAGCAACAGCCAATAACCCAAGCCCCGTCCCATCATCAGAGCCGGCATACATCACCTGGATATAAGCGGCCGACAATATCAATATCCGTGGACAATAACCATGGATCCAAAACCATTGACAAAGCTTGTATGTGCAACACCAAAGCACCTCAGCATAGAATCAGAGATAAGTGGCACCAGAGTCATGAACTTCGGCCTAAGTCCGTGATGGATAGACGGGAAAGCAGAAGAAAAGGTGGACCATTCAAACCCTTGTAGACAAATTAGCAGCTGCTGACGCGGTGGGAAGGCCGTGAATAATGCCGTAAGTAGTGTGGGATATCAGACTGCATGCTGTGGCAAACTTGAGTGCCTCAACAACTTTCTCTTCGGACTGCCACAGCGTTGAGTCCCTCGCAAGAAGGGTGAGCATTCCAGCCCAGAAAGCGTCTCCACACCCCGATCGATCTGGACCAAGGGCATCCTCGGCGCCTCCCACACGACCGTGAAAGTTAGGGGTGAAGTAATGTAACCAGAAAGTGCCATCTGCCACAATGAGGAGCTTGATGTTTCCGTGCCAGAGAGGGGCCAAATCAGCTTGGTTGTAGCGATACTCATCCCACCTTGTGGGTTCATTCAACATAGAACTAGAGTACACTTTCTTGCAGCCCTTGCCAACATCCGAGAGGAGGAACTCTAGCTCAGCATCTGTGATTTTGATATAATTTGCTTCATTCCAAACGGGAGCAATGCATTCACGAGCTGCGCGTGGGGATTTCCATAGAGGCAAAGGCAGATTCAGATCAAATGAGATGTTCGCTTTGACCTCTTTAGCCTTCGCCAGAGCGTAGAGAACAGACGAACGCAACTTCTCTGAGGTTAAGCTTAGCGAGCCAGTGTGGAGGATCTCTGCCTTGTCAATCAAACTCGTATCCACTTCGTCAGGAGACAAAGCCATATCTGCACTCGGGCAGACGCATGGCATCTTCAGCACCCCATCTGCACCTCTCTCCAGCCTAACCATGGCTTTTTGAGTTTTGGTGCTTTTCTCAAAGACAACGCCTTGTGTTTCCACATTGTTCCTTACCAGGATGTCATGCATCTCATAGCCCTGCGGATCATCTCCGAACTTTCCAATCAACGCAGCGTTACCTCCCAAGCGGCCTACACCAACTGCTACAGTGCCAGGGGGACTGCCAGGTGCTTTGGCGAAATAGGGTGGCTGAAGCTGATGCCGGCTCCAGGATTGGTATCGCTCCGGCACAATGTAAGGACTCTTTCGAACCGTAGGCAGGAACTCGGAAATGAGTTCACCAATGCAAACAACAAGAGGATCTTTCGAAATCTCTCTCTCCTCAAAGTAGTCGAAGGCGGGGTAAGCAATAGGTAGCGTGGACCTTGAGTTTGATTCGCGGTGGTCCTGTGAGACCATACACACATGACGGCAATCCTGATCCTGGCATGGTTTCCTCGACCTAATAGCTTTTCTACCATGGACAAACCCAACAGTACCATTACACTTATTAGCAAACCAACCACCACCCGAGCCAAACGCTAGCCCCACTTGTGCACTTCCGGGTTCAACACTTTCTGCCCTTGCATGATAGAATCTTCTACAACCAATAGCAGGGGATGCCGTTTTCCTCCTCGTCCTCCTCAAAGGTCTCCCAGAAATATGTACACCCACGTTGCCAGCGCCGCTGCCACAGCCACAGCACGTCGAAGGTGAGATGGGTGTATCACATTGTCGCCACCTCCACTGCCCAACTGCAGACTCCCCTGACAAGAAGCATGCTCTCGTCCTCGTTATTCTGCCGAGTGAATTCCTCGATCTTTGTCGGCCGTCAATTCGTCTGCTCCAGTTGAACTTCTCCTTGCTCTCCAAGCGGAGATGGCTTGCCTCGTCTCCTTCCGATGCCCCTCGGCCAACAAATGCTACCCCCACGGCCGCACTATCAGCAGAGGCCCCAAGACCTACTAAGCGAACACCACTTACCTCATTGGGAATGACCTTGGCTTCCCCAGCTGCTAGCCGGCATGTTCTTGGCATCCTAACTTGGCATCTGCAGGCTGCCACAGAAGCTCGAGTGGTAATCGTAGATGATGATGATGACCATGCAGCCAGGGAGCATGATGCATGCATTGCCACCTCCATTTCTGAAGAGGCACACCAACCATACAACAACCACACCATCAACCACCCAAGGACATGAATCCAAGCCTCTTCTTGATTTTACACACACACACACACACACACACACACACACACACACACACACATAATCTCCAGTAAAAACATTGCTGACAAAGAAACGGGGAAAACGATCCCACATACCCAGCACCCAAACGGAAACACTCGGACATAATTGCCGTGCCTTTTTTTTTCTTTTTTCTTTTGTTTTGAGAAACACATGCTCCGTTCTATATGTGGGGAGCGGCACATGTTGGGAACCAGGCCATATGTGGGGAATGATTAAAAGAGGCTGGGGTCCTCACAGTCTACCCACAAAGAAAGTGATACCGAGAGCATTACTCGACTTCGCTTAAAAACCATTCCGACGTTGTAGTTGCTGAGGTGGGAGAAGGGTTACGACTGTAGAGAGAGACAGAGAGAAAACAGGAACAGACGTTCTCCGTTTTCTTCGCTCAGAACAGTTAACATTACTGCAGCAGACCCAAATGTCATAGCTATCGCAAAAAGACTTGCAATAGACAGAACAGCAAAAGAAAAACGGGATTTCCTACTGTTAATATGCTCTCAGATGAGGGCATCGATTCTGCATTTGATTCCGATGCAGAGCTGATGAGCATTTGCTGTTGACGGCACGCGTGAAATATGAAAGAGCCTCAAAGAGGCCTTTTTTTTTTGTCACTATAGTATTATGGGAAGTCCCGTAGCAGCCACATCTGTTATGAAGTTGGTTGCCTGACGATTTTTACCACCACTCACACACAGACAATCTCATATACGCCCATACATGCATAAGAGAAGGAGGAGAGGAGACAGAGTCCAACATGCACACAGATCAAAGTAGATAGCGGAAGCACAACCATGCACAGATGGGGAGAGGACACACAGTGTTTCTCACCCTCTGACGATACTCCCAACAACCAATCACAAGAAAGAACCTGCGAGGATAACAATTGGAATACACACTGATGATGAGCCAATTAACCAGAAATCGTTACAGAGTTTGTTCCAGTGTCTCGCCACTCTCAGAACCCCACACTCCACTCACAACCCTACAGGGGCCTACACCCAGTTAGCAGCGCCACATCAGAATGGCCTCCCAGAGGCCAGCGCCAACCACCCAGATGAGGAACAGATCCTGTGATGAAGTCTTCAGTGCCGCTGAACAACTCTGACAAAGAACCGGCAGCTATGGCTGCCGCCACCCACAAGGACTCAGTGAAGAGTCTCTACACAGCCCAGCCGCTCGCAGAAACCCACAGGGGTTGGTGCGCAGAAGATGCCCCAGCTATGGCAAGTCCTTCGCAGGCTGGATATGGCTGCTGTCCACGGTGAGGGTCTCAGGGTACCGCCTGTAGACAATCGCCGCTGCAAACCTCCTTGGCTCCAAACGCTGTATCGCGAAAATGAACCGCCAAAAGTCCTGAACCAAAGTGCCTAAACTATTAATAGACTACTTTACACTAGCCTAGACCCAGGCCTACCGGTACCGATTCAGTTAGGGCCTACTCGGCCTCTACGAAACCGGTCCTACAGCTGCACTTAGGGCTCAGGGCCACTTAGGGTCGGTCACCACTCAGCCCCTACTGCTGTTAATCCCAGCTATTTTTAGAATAGCGGGCGGCCCTCAGTGCAGGCCAAAAAAACACAGCAAAATACACAGCACACTGTACAACCGCAGCAAGCACACAGCACACTGTACAACCTCGCAAGTCAGTCTCGGCAATCGAAATCAGCAAGTCATTGCAGGCTTACCCCCCCGGGGAGTGAGGACCTCCGAGCTAGGGATACAGGCGAGGTGAGCGGCGAGGAAGGTTGCCCTTCTGAGCCGCTTCATACCGCAAAACAACTAACTTTGCTGTCTTGAGAAGTTCCCTTCTGTAGAACCATCTGTTCTCAGAAGGAGGCTGGAATGCGAACCTCACAAGACACTGTCGATCGGGGCCTGTGCCCCACTCATCCTCAATCCACTCCACGTCATATTCCTTGCCAGGGATCAGTGGACCAAACTGAGGGGGGCGGTCAGGGAATGCATCAGCTGGAGTAAATGGCAACAACTTGGATGCATGAAAGACCGGGAAGGTGCGTATTGGATGCATGAAAGACCGGGTAGGTGCGTAGATGCAGAGGGACATCAATGACATAGGACGGACCGAATGGATCGACGCCCACTGTATCTAGGACCTGCCATGGACCCAAATAACGAGGCAACAGCTTGGGGGAGATATCCTCCTCCCTCGACAACTCAGAACTGGCGACCCAGACATGATCACCAGTGCGGATGGGGGAAGGCCGCCTGTGGCGATTAGCTTATTCAATCATCGCCTTTTGGGCTTTGAACAAGTTCGCCCGTGCTCTTTCCACATCTATGCGGTAGCGTCTGGTGAACTCTGCGGTGCCTGAAGTCAGATCAGACTTGGCCTTATCGATGATGTCATCGAGAGGCTGTCGTGGTTCACGTCCCCAGTGCAACCGGTATGGGCTGAACCCAGTCGAGGAATGGACAAACATATTATACATAAGTTGTTCTCGAGCCAAGTGAAGATCCCAGTCCTGCTGATCTGGCTAGATGACAGGACGCAGCAATTGGAATAAGACTTGGTTCATCACTTCAGCCAAACCATTCGCTTCAGGATGATGACCAAAAGTCATGTCCAATCGTGAGTGTAGATAGTCCTTACAGTAGGACAGCCACTCATCGCTGCAAAATCGGGGATCTCTATCACTGACCATAGAAGTGAGCGGTCCATGGTGTGTGACCCACCTCTCTGAAAAGGTTGTTCTCACAGCCGGGACTCTGGCCACTTCTTGCAAGGGGATGAACTCTGCGTATTTGGAAAACCTGTCCACGCAGACCATAACCTGACGCATGCCATGAGGGGTGGTCTTGCCTAAATCTGTGAAGTCTATTGACACAGATTCAGCAGGGCCATCAGGTATGGATAAGGGTTTGAGCAGTCCCAAAGGAGGCCTACGCTGGACCTTATTCCTTGGGCAGAGCTCGCAGGTTTCCACATAGCGCAGCATATCACTCCGCATCTCCTTCCAGAAGAAGCGTTGCAACAGGGCTGCATATGACTTTAGGAACCCAAAATGTTCCCGGGCGTCATGACACTCTGACATCAGCAGTGTCCTGAGCCGCTGGTCCTGGGAAATGCACAAGTGTTCCTCCCCTCTGCTGTAGGTGTACAGCAGATTTGAACTTAGAGCATAGCCTAGTTCAGAGTTAGGATCTGCTTGCAGATTCCTGACTATGGGTCCTGAGGCAGTAGATGAGCGATGGTCTGACGGGTCTCCTCTCTGAAGGAGTGAGTAGAGGACATCACTGCAAAAGAGTCAGGCCTACGAGAGAGGGCATCTGCTACCTTGTTGTAGCAGTCCTTCTTATGTTTCAGTTCAAAGTCAAACATGTCTATGAACTGAATGTACCGTGTCAACTTATCATTCAGTTCTCCCTGGGACTTCATCCACTGTAGGGTGGAGTGATCTGAAAAGATCTTGAAGTGTCTTCCCAAGAGAAAGTGCTTCCAGTGTTTCAGGGCACAAACAAAAGCATATAGCTCCTTCTCGTAGGTAGAGTCCTGGAGCTTTTGAGTTTTGATCTTCTTACTCATAAACTCTATAGGTCGTAGACCATTCCCATCATCCTGCTGAAGAACTGCCCCAATGCCATACTGACTGGCGTCAGTGGTCAGGATAAATGGCGGAGTGGGGTCAGGCAACTTCAGCACAGGTGCACGAGTCAAGGCCTTCTTGAGTCGTGTGAAGGCCAACTGACAGTGGAGGGTCCAAAGAAAAGGAGTGTCTTTCTTTGTTAGGTTGGTCAGGGGTGCAGCCATTGCAGAAAAATTCCTGACAAACTTTCTGTAGTATGAGGCTAAACCCATGAAGGACCTGACATCCCTCACTGTCTGTGGCTGAGGCCACTCCTGAATAGCAGCAATCTTGGTTGCTTCAGGAGTCAGGCCATCTCCAGAGATTACATGACCCAGATAGATGACAGAGGGAACTCCAAAAGAGGACTTCTCTCTGTTGATCTTGTACTGGCTGTCGCGTAACGACTGAAGGACCAAAGCCAAGTGCTCCGCATGTTCCCTGGCAGTTTTGCTGAATACCAGGATATCATCCAAGTAGACAACCATAAACTTGTCCAGGTAAGGCCTGAAGATGCGGTGCATCTCTGTAAGGAAGGTACCTGGGGCATTGCAAAATCCAAATGGCGTGACCAGGAACTCATAAGTCTCATACTTGCTCTTGAAGGTTGTCTTGTAGGCATCCTCCTCTGCCATCTCAATCTGGTGGTACCCAGATTTGAGGTCAACTTTGCTGAACAGTGTGCAGCCCTGCACCATCTCCAGAAGGTCATCGATCCTAGGAAGTGGTTTTGTACTCTTCCTAGTAATCTTGTTGAGACCCCTTTCGTCAATACACATTCTGAACTCGCCATTCCCTTTGGGAACAAAGAGAACGGGTGCACCGAATTCAGAAAGGTTGGGTCTGATCCAGCCCTTGCTGGTCAGGGTCTCAAGCTGCTTTCTGAGCTCCTCAAGCTCCGCAAGGGACTTCCTGTAGGTGCGGCCCTTGGGAGGGACCGCTCCAAGTAGTAGCTCAATCCGATGTTTGGTTGGCCGGTTGGGTAACCCAAAGGGCTCCTACATCAGATCAGCATACTGATCAACCACCTGTTGTATCTCAGGAGGACAGGAAACAGGGGGAACATCCGTTTGCTTGACCAGAGAAATAAACAGACGCTCATGGTGGTACTGGCGTGAGAGAGCATAGAACTCCCTCGCTCGTAAGCAGTAGCAGGAGGTCTTAGGGTGATGATCAGCAGCTATCATGCATGGTTGATACACCCCCTGTCTATTAGGTAGTTCAACCTTAGGGATCTGCCAGTCGATCCTTGGGTTGACTGCCTTCAACCACTGCATAGAGAACACCAGGTCAAAGGGTAGATCAGGGAATATGTAGAAGTTCAGACTGTGTCTGACTTCTCCAGCACCGTCGAAGGTCACAGGGATTCCCTTAACCTTCTCCCTGATGGTGAGCACTGTGGAGTCGCCTATCCTGACCAGCAAAGGTTGCTTCAACTGCTGAACTTTCATCCCCAGATGCAGTTTCTTAACAGCACT